AAGGCACTCAGTAACGGCTGGCTTGTCGGGAAGACGCCAGCTGTTGGCATTCGTGTGGTCAAATACAGCCATGCTCTCTAAGCATTCTGTCCGCTCTCGAATCCATGTTTCTTGGCCCTAAGGGTAAACAAAGGTGGGAAGAGAGAGGGCTGTTAGGGCAGTTCACATCTCTCTCAGTTGTTTTCCAGAAGCTGTGTGTAGTGGAAACTACATGAATGAGAACAAGTCAGAAATGAAGAATATCACACAAGGATAGTTTAAGGAAACCCTGGGACAATATGAAGCATAACGTCCACATCATAGGGACACCAGAAGGAGGAGACAGTGAGCAAGGTATAGAGAACCCCTTTGAAGTAGCGACAGAAAACTTTGCTAACCTGGTGAAAGAGAAAGGCACACGAGTTCAGGAAGCACAGAGGCCCGATCATGATGAACCCCAAAGAGGCCCTCCACTTGTATTTCCCTCCTCTCCATGGCCAAGGGCCATATCCATGTCGAGGCCACTTCAGACCGGCCCAGCCCCTCTCCCCCTACCCCTTGGGAAGATGGGAGGGCCCGTGTGATTCGTGTTAAGCCATCGCTCCCTGACCACGGCACTTCTCGCTCGGGTCCCAGTACTGAAACCTAGCAAAAGGCCAGTGGACAGCGTAGTGCCGGGAGCCAGGAGGGAGACACAGAGGCTCTGGCCACGTGCCAGGTGAGCTGCAGGCCCGCCACTCGGCCGTGTGGAAGCCAGTACGAGGAGCGCTATTTGGTGATGGTGAAGCTGCAGTACCAGCAACAGCATCATCCCCTTGTCACTTTCCTTGCTGTTCAGAATTGCAAAAAATAATCACATGCCCACACACGTGTATTTTTAGCTTTGTATCTTCCAAAGCACTTGGCAAGCCGAAAACGCAGGCACCCGCCACCCGCCACGACCAGCCTGTGGCTCGGAACACAGCCTCTCTGAGACAGCAGCTGCCCTGCAGCCCGGGCGGGGCCACGGAGCACTGGCCACACCTGAGGACGGGCCTGGGACGGTGGGGAGGCGGCCGGCGGGATTCCAAGCAGCCGATACAAGGAGCCGGTGGCAGGATCCCAGCAGCAAACACGGCTGCACAGCCTCACGTCTCCGGAAGCCCCTTGGATGCCTGCATGATCCCAGGAGCCTGAAACCTGCACCAGGCACCTGTCGGATCCAGAAGACAAGAGAACATACACCACGGTCGTCCCGCGTGGAGTCGCCTGTGTCCGGGTGGCTGGGCGGGCTGGGGCTTACACAACAGGATCCGTGAAAAGCCCGCAGCTTCCACCGTCAGAGTTTGACATGCAATTTGAAGGCTCTGAGCAAATGTGGCCGCCAGCCTTCCCTTCTGCAGCGTTTTGCCTTCCCTGGCTTTCACTGGCCCACTGGTGGTCTGGCTTATCCAAACGAATCAGAGTCTGTCAGAATGACGTCTTCGATCTTCGCCTTCGATCTCGGAGGCTTAGAGTAGAAAGCTGAGGAGCGTAAGCAGCGAGCAAGCGCCTGTGACCCCGATGTCCTCTCCTGACGGTTGTCTCTGGCCCATGAGCATGTTGAATGGAGGTGCACTGAGCTGTTGGGTTGGGCGCCCGGCCTATCTCAGGAGGTCGCCCTGCTCTGCATTGTCTGTCACCCCCTCCTGCCAACAGGCCTATGCTCACGAGCTTTGGCAAAGCTGCCAGAGGGCACAGTTACCTGTCCCCGTGCCCTGAGGCAGCGGCTCTGCAGGGTAGCCTTGTCCCCTCCTGGCTGTGGCCTCTGTAACCCGTCATTGCCCTCACTTCCCAGGAGGAGGAAGAGGAGGAGGGTGGGTCCCGTGTACTCTGTTGTCTGACCAGCAGAACTCTCCCGAGTAGCCCAAACTCGCAGCTGGGGAGGAGGGAGAAAGCAGCCCCCCCCCCCCCTCGCCCCATGAATAAAAAGCCTCAGACGGCGCCTCAAGTACAAGACCGAGAGGGAACCCTAACGCAGCTCTGGGACAGCGAGGTGTCCGTGTGGGGTTATTCCTAAAGACTCCTCACAGAATCTCACAGCAATCCTATAAAGCGGAGGGAAAGCTGCTCACACCCCCATTTGACCAGTGGCCCGGCTCAGGGTCCCGCCCGGGTCACCTGACCCTGCCAGCACCCCCTCTTTGGTGCGGGCACAGATCGTTTTCAAACCGTTTAGATTTTTGTGTCTCCCATTTCTGGACGGTAATTTTCCTCCTCACTGGGAACAGTTGTTCTCGCCAGTTGCAGCTCTCTCTTGCAAAAAGGGGTTATTTATATTCAAAATCACTTCAGATTCTCACAGAGCTCAGAGTTGGTGTGTGGGTTTTTTTTTTGTGTTTAAGAGACTGGCAAATGAAAACATTTCTCCCTGTGTCTGACTGATTCAACAGCATTTGCATGCTACCACTGTCCGCTTGCTAGACAGGACCCTCTGAAAGGGGAGGGTCTATGTCCTAACCCGCCTTTGGTTTTCTCCCGCGTGAGGGGTGTTTGCGTGTGCTGGCTCTCTCAGCCCCACACACACAGCTCCGCGGGTATAAATAGAACACTATCTCGAAAGTCCTCTTAACTGGGTGACTTAGGGTGGAGGGCGGACCGCGTCTCTCCCCAGGTTGGGTTTTGCTGTGTCACAGGACAGCGGGCGCTCCCACCAGGCTGCTGTCTGTCACCCTCGTTTCCTCTGCCCAGCTCCCCACGCTGGCCTGGACCCAGCCCAGCACCTGTCCCCTCCCGGCCCACGGAGGGAGGACAGTGTGACCGGCTCCCTCCCGCTCCCACGGGATTCAGCGTATATACTGAGCGGGGGGGGGGGGGGGGGTCCCAAGTGACACCAGGGGCACCCAGCGGCCTCCACTTTTTCTCCCAATAGGGGGCGCTCTGAGGGTCGGTGTTGGCTGAACCCTGGGCCGCAGTGTCTGTCCTCTCACGAGGAACCCGGTGCACTAGGGATCCAGTAAGCGTGGGAGCCACGCACCCCACTGAACAGGTCCCGCCGATGACCGAGTGTTCAGGCTGGTCCCGGCCTTGGCAGTGAGGTCGCTGCCTGCCTGCTCTGTCCCCAAGACTCCGTGACCCCCGGTGCTGTGGCGTGCCAGGAGGCGGGGCCTGAGGGGCTAGCTTGCTGGTGGCCCCGCTCCCGGTGACCCTGCCGGCACCACAGGGTGGTCACAGGCCACCACACCTGTGCCCCCGTCCCAGGTATGAAGTGGGCGAGGCAGAGCCTACCAATGACAGCAGTGGGGGCGCTGGCAGGGCTGAGTGGACGCCTTTCCCTCCAGTTCCCCTACTGAAGGCCAGGGTCTGTCAGACTGGGCAGCTCGTGGGGAAAGCTGGAGTTCAAGTCCAAGTCTGCAGGAAGCCAGCTCACACCCCCAGCTCTTCCGTGGCCACTTCCGACGGGATTGGATTGCCTTTACTTCCCACAGCTACCTTATTCTTTGAGACTCGAGTCACACAAGCAGGCGTTTCCTTGTCTCATTTGCATTATATCTTTGGCCTGAACCGGCCTCCTCTTTTCTTCTTCCTTCCCTCCCTCCTTTTAATTCTTGCCCCAGGATATTTTTCCCATTGATTTCTAGAGAGAGTGGAAGGGAGGGATGTGAGAGACACATATGTCGCCTCCCACACGTGCCCCAACCTTACGTGTCCTTGACTGGGAATCGAACCCGTGATCCTTGGGCCCGAGGGCCTATGCTGTAACCACTGAGCAACACCGACTTGATTTTTTTTTTTTTTTAATACTTTTCAAAGCGCCTGGCTCAATGCCGTGCACATAGTGGGTCCACAGTCAAGATGGAGAAATATTGGTAGTGCCACGTCCCTGAACACAGGGAAGAGACCATGAGGCCTGGCGCAGACTCGGTCCCAGGATCTGCCCCTGGCGCAGCCGGTCCTGATGGCCCGAGAGCGGCCGGGAACTTGGCAGCGCAGGTCCCGTCTGCAAATAGTGCTCACAGGCTGACGTCGTGCCCTCTGTAAACATTTCTTTTTTAGAAGCGGTTCTTAACTCCTGCACCCCTCTGCGCAGCCCTCGTTTCTTGAGAAAATATCTGCCCGCATTCTCCAGTCACCGGAGATGACTCAGGCCAGGGATCCTGCCGTTCAGGGCCGTGGCTGCCTTCCTGCCCCCTAACCCTGAGGCCCCAGCCCGCACAGGAGCGAAGCCCCTCGCCCCCCGAGCCTGAGACTGCCCTGACCCTCTGCCCCTGTGCTCCTGTCTCAGCGGTTGCCAAAGGAACCACAAAAATATTGCTCCACGTGCTCCAGGAACAAAATGCCGGTGCCCATTACTGTTGTTTTAAACCCTAACGTGTGGCCCTGGCCGGTTTGGCTCAGTGGATAGAGTGTTGGCCTGTGGACTGAAAGGTCGCAGGTTTGATGGACCTTGGTTGCAGGCACATCCCCAGTGGGGGGTGTGCAGGAGGCAGCTGATTGATATTTCTCTCTCATCGATGTTTCTAACTATTCCTTTCCTTTTTTCTCTGTAAAAAATTAATAAAGTATATGAAAAAAAAAAGACTGTGGCGGGTGACCTTAGCCTGGAGGGGAGGCTTGTCGCGTGCACCCTGCGGTGCTGGGGCAGGTCCCGAGCTGGGGACCCCACCCCGGGCCGGAGGGCCCAGGGCGGGCGGTGGGTGAGCGGCCAGGGCCCCAAGGGGCGCAGCTGGAGCGGCGCGCGCAGGCCAGCGCCCCCCCACCCCCCCCCCGCAGCCCGGTCGATACCCGGCGCGGCCAGTAGGCGGCGCTGGCCGGGGCCCGGGCGGCGGGGAGCGGCTTGCGGATCCCCAGTCTCCGTCTCCAGGGGAGGCCGGCCCTCCCGCGGCTCCCGCTCCGCCCCCGCGCGCCCACCCGCCTCCGGCCGGGCGCACCCCGGGGCCGCAGCACCCGCCGAGCATTCGCCGCTGCGGGCGCGCCGGGTGCGGGTCCCCGCGTCCGCTCCGCGCAGCGCAGGGCGGCCCCGCCCGCCGCCCCCGCCTCCCGGTGCAGCAGCGCCGCCCGCGCCCGGCCCCCGGCGCCCGGCCCGGCAGCAGGCGCAGCGGCGGCCGCAGGGGCAGCGGCGCGGGCAGCGGGGGGCGCGGGGCCGGCCGGCCGGAGCCATGGCCGATACGGGCGAGGGCGAGGACGAGATCCAGTTCCTGCGGACCGTAAGCGCCCGCGGGTCCCCGGGGAGGCACGGCGGGGCGGGGAGGGGGGAGCCGGGCCGGGCCGGGGAGGGAGGGAGGGAGGGAGGGGGTCCCCGGCGGTGCGGGCGCACGTGCGGGGCGGGGGGACAGGATGCGTGTCCGCGAGCGCGCGTGGACCGGCCGCGGGGACACCGGCTGGTCCCCGGCACCGAGGACAGCATCCCCGAGCCGGAGGCCGGTCCGGGTGCACCAGCCGGCGGACCGGGACCCCAGCGGGCACCCGGAGGACGGACGGGCCCGCCCGGAGGGCGCGGGGCTGGGACCCGGCTCCCGATCTGGCCCCGCGCCCGCGCGCACCCAGCATTCGCCCTCTTGGCGCAGCGCGCGCTGCGGCCCCCGCGGGGAGGGGGTGCGGGACGAGGTGTTTCCCTCCCCTCCCCATCCCCCATGTCCCGGGTCTGAAAGGGGCACCGGCCGAAACCGGTTTGGCTCAGTGGCTAGAGCGTCGGCCTGCGAACCAAAAGGTCTCGGGTTCGATTCCGGTCAAGGCACGGACCTTGGTTGCGGGCACATCCCCAGTGGGGGGTGTGCAGGAGGCGGTGGATGTTTCTAACTCTCTATCCCTCTCCCTTCCTCTTTGTAAATAATAATAATAATAATAAAATCAATAAAAATATTTTTAAAAGGGGGACCGGGTCGCTGCGTGGCCGTGGCGCCCCCAGCCCGGGCCGCGGGGCTGCGGACGCGGGTGCCGGCAGCGCCTGCGGGACCGGGAAGGACCGGGGCGCGCGGAGGCGGGGGCATCGCGGACGTGCCGTTCCCCAAACGCTGCTGTAGAGGCTGCGCGTGGGTGCGCGCCGGGGCAGGTGGCCGCCTGCACGTCCCCGCCGTGGCCGCCCCGGGAGGCCGGCTCCGCGCGGGGACCGTTATTTCCTTCCTGGTGCCGCGGCATCCTCCCGCTCCGCGCTCCGCTCGCTGCAGGTCCCTCCGCGGGGACCGGAGCTCCCTCTCCTTGCCGGGAATAACCCGAACAGCCCGGTTTGATGGGAGCAGCCTGTGTCCCCCGCCACCCTGTCCTCCCACCCTCCTCCTGGAGGATGGTTCCCGACAGGGCTCCCCCCGCCCCCCCAGGGTCGCCTCTTCCCTCTCCAGCGGAGGAAGGTGCCAACTCACCGCCACAGCCACAGTTAGGGATGCATTTTAAATGCTGGAACATTTGACCACATGGTACCTTTGGGGTGGGAAGACAGTCTGATGGATGTGGGAGCTCAGCCACTGAAAATGGTCCGTTTGTCCGAGAATGGTGTGCGTGACTGTGTTTTCCTCCTCTGATTCTTTTTGGGGGGCGCAAGGGGGTTTGTTTGGGGAAGGATGGAATCCAGGGTACACATCAGAAGGCGAACGGCCGGACCTCATGGCTGCCTGTATGCACAGCCCATGTGCCTGTTATGTGCTGCCCATGCACGTTCCATGTGCTGTCATGCACATTGCATGTGCTGCTGGCCCAAGACCCAGCTGGGAAGACCCGGTTCCCTAAAGCCTTGCTTATGCGAAATATTTTAAGCCTACTCGTCATACAGTTTATTTAGTGGAAAACTGTCCATAAGGTTGTGTGTTTTCTTAAAAATTGATTTCAGGGAGGAAAGGAGAGGGAGAGAGAGATAGAAACATCGATGAGAGAGAATCATGGATCGGCTGCCTCCTCCACACCCCCCACTGGGGATGTGCCCGCAACCTGGGCAGGTGCCCTTGACTGGAATCAAACCCTGGACCCTTCAGTCTGCAGGCTGATGCTCTATCCACTGAGCCACACCGGCTAGGGCAGTTTTAAAAAATATTATAGCCGAAACCGGTTTGGCTCAGTAGATAGAGTGCTGGCCTGCGGACTGAGGGGTCCCAGGTTCGATTCCGGTCAAGGGCATGTACCTTGGTTGCGGGCACATCCCCAGTAGGAGGTATGCAGGAGGCAGCTGGTCGATGATTCTCTCTCATCGATGTTTCTAGCTCTCTATCCCTCTCCCTTCCTCTCTGTAAAATAAATAAATAAATAAATAAATAAAAAATCAATAAAATATATTTTAAAAATATTTAAAAAGACACATGGGCAGACGTTTCTCAAAAAACACATGAGATCTTTGGTTCAGGGGGCAAAACACTCGAGTCGAACCATCCTGTGTCGCTTTAAAAATGCCTTTTCCCAGGATGCACAGGGTTAACGGAGCTGGAATGTCTCAGAGGGCTCCTGTGGGCTCAGCACAGAAGCCGGCTCCGGGAGGCAGGCGTGTTATCAGGATGCTTCGCGGGCAGCGAGGTCACCCGCCAGCCGGTCCTGCACATAAAAGGCATGGACGGCCGTGTCCCTGGACAGCTGTCTGTCCGGCCCGCGACACCTCCGATAAGTGGTGCCGGCCGAGGCCTGGTTGTCCTGGGCTGGGCTGTTCTTTTGATAAAGCACCGTGGGGGCTGGTGCTGGTGATAAATGACCTTGAAGGAGGTGGCACAGGGGAGCCGGGGGATTTTTTTTTTGGTGTGAGCATGAACACGTAAAAGGGAGCATGCCTTTTCGCTACATTTTAGACGGTGAATGTGGGGATCCTCCCATTGTGGGCCCCCTCCCCTGCCTGCCCCGCTCCCTTCCACCTGGGCCTCTGACCCTGAGCGTGTGCATGGCTCGGAAATGCTAACGGAGCCAGTGAGGGACAGGATGTCGTCCTTATGGTACATTCTTTTTCTGGGGTATACGTGCAACCTTATCCATGTGAGTTAGTCCCTTCCTTCCTTCCCTCTTTCCTTCCCTCTTTCCTTCCTTCCCTCTTTCCTTCCCTCTTTCCTTCCTTCCCTCTTTCCTTCCCTCTTTCCTTCCTTCCCTCTTTCCTTCCCTCTTTCCTTCTTCCCTCCTTCCCTCTTTCCTTCCTTCCCTTCCTTCCTTCTTTCCTTCCTTCCTTCCTTCCTTCCTTCCTTCCTTCCTTCCTTCCTTCCCTCTTTCCCTCTTTCCCTCTTTCCTTCCTTCCCTTTCTTCCTTTCTTCCTTCCTTCCCTCCCTCTTTCCTTCTTTTCCTTCCTTCTCTCCTTCCTTCCTTCTCTCCTTCCTTCCTTCTCTCCTTCCTTCCTTCCTCCCTTCCTTCCTTCCTCCCTTCCTTCCTTCCCTCTTTCCTCCCTTCTTTCCTTCCCAGATCACCGGGGAGTATCAACAATCTGTACGTTAGTTAAAACAGTTATAGGTTATAATGAAGCTCTTGTGATTACAAAAAGGAAGTCAAATAGTTTCATCATCAAGAGAGAGTAATTGTGAACAGACACTTCCTATATTCTGATTAGAGCATCATTTAAAATATATATATATATTTTTTTTAATTGATTTTTTTACAGAGAGAAAGAGAGAGGGAAAGAGTTAGAAACATCGATGAGAGAGAATCATCGATCAGCTACTTCCTGCACACCCCATGCTGGGGATGTGCCTGCAACCAAGCTACATGCCCTTGACCGGAATCGAACCTGAGACCTTTCAGTCCGCAGGCCAATGCTCTATCCACTGAGCCAAACTGGTTTCAGCTAGAATATCATTAAAAAATATATATTTTTATTGATTGCAGAGAGAAAGGGAGAGGGAGAGAGGGAGAGAGGGAGAGAGGGAGAGGGAGAGAGAGAGAGAGGAGAGAGAGAGAGAGAAACATCAGTGATGACAGAGAATCATAGATCAACTGCCTCCTGCACACCCCACACTGAGGATGGAATCCCCAACCCCGGGCCTGTGCCCTGACCGGGAATCGAACCGTGACCTCCTGGTTCCTAGGTGGATGCTCCACCCCTGCGCCACGCCGGCCAGGGTGCACCTTCACTTCCCATCCCTGACACACCGTCTCCTCTCCTCTCTGCTCTGTGTCCAGGGCAGTGCCGTTCCGCTGGGCCCTGGGGGGGACGCTGCCCTGCTGTCACCCCAGGTAGAAGCCTGGTCACAGTGCCCCCTGCTGGCCCCTGGGTGTGTGTCCCCGCCTCTCGGAGAGCCTGGGAGGGGACTGTCCCTTCTCGGCAGGACCTTGGCTGACCGCAGGAGCGGGTGGGACCGGGTCTGGAAAGAGACCATGTGGGGGGCGGGCTGTGGGGCCCCCGGGGGCGTGGGGAGCCTCGATGCCGCGGGGACCAGGGTGTAAAAGGGAAGAAGACCTTCGAGGCTATTTTTCCTTTTGCCCCCGCTCCGGGGCGGGAAATGGGTCAGAGCTGTCAGCGAGGAAGATGGATGTGGCGGTGGTGTGTAAGGCAAACTGGGGTGGAAAGAGACGGAGGAGACAGCGTGCTGAGGCGGGCTAGCAGACGGTGACCGTGACCTGTGGGATGGGGGGAGATCCCGTGAGGGAAGGGTGAGTGATCCGATGCAAGGGGAATAAAAGGACGGAGGTGAGCTTAGGAGACGCAAAGCGAGGTGCACAGGTGCAGGCTGTGGGGGGAGGCGGTGGGGCTGGTCTGGGACGCACTGGTTTGGAGCATGTCATGGGCTGACTTGGGTCCTCCCCAGCAGCCCCCCGAGATGACATGCTGGACCCTCAGTACCCCAGAATGGGCTCCTGTTGGAGCGAGGTCTTGCTAGAGGCGATCAAGTTTATTTCACTTATTTATTTTTATTTATTTTTTTAAAATATATTTTATTGATTTTTTTTTTTTTTTTTTTTTTTTTTTTTTTTTTTTTTTTTTTTTTTTGCAGAGAGGAAAGGAAAGAGAGTTAGAAATATTGATGAGAGAGAAACATCGCATCAGCCGCCTCCTGCACACCCCCTACTGGGGGGGGGGGTGTGTGTGTGCCTGCAACCAAGGTACATGCCCTTGATCAGAATCAAACCCGGGACCTTTCAGTCCACAGGCCTACGCTCTGATAGATGAAGTAAAGAATGGGGCCAGAGACCTGGATGGCAGGACACAGGCTTTATTGGAGAGAAGAGTACCCCTGCCGGCTGCTTCCAGAGAGAGAGAGAGAGAGAGAGAGAGAGAGAGAGAGAGAGAGAGAGGAGGGCGGGGTCCATGTACTTT